AAAATGAGAACCCGGATTGTTGTTGGGGGCAATATGCTGACTCTGTAAACCGCTTAGAGAGGGCCTATGCCCTATGAAGCGGTATATAAGTCTAACTGCTATTGAAAAAAAAAAAAACGGTCCAGCCCCATCTAGAACGGAGTGTATGGTGTGTTGTTTTTAAATCTATTTTTTCTTTCCCTGTATTTTATTTTTGACTTTATTTCTGTATTGTAAGCCGCCCGGAGTCCTACGGGATTGGGCGGCATATAAATGTTATTAAATTCAAATGGTTTCCTAAAGTAATATAAATGAGCACCGATTTTTAAACAAATGATCAGAAACAGATACAAGTTACCCTAGAAGAGTGATGGCGAACCATTTAGACACTGAATGCCCAAAACGCACGCTGCATGCCCAAACGGAAAGGTGTGCGCGCGAGAGAGTAAATGTGCACATGCGCAGACATGCATGTGCATACGCACAGCGGAGAACCGAAGACCAGCTGGCCGGTGGGGCATCCCAACACCGGCAGCGCAGCAAGATCTTTTTCTTTCGTGAGCTTCTATGTCGGCGTTTGCAGGGAAACAGAAGGTCACGAAAGAAACGCCACGGAGCTCTCACGTGGGGTGATGGCACACATCCAGCAGAGAGGGCTCTGCCACCTCTGGCACGGGTGCTATGGGTTCTCCATCACGGCCCTGGAAAGACAGATTTTCTGCAATAGCTTTTTGTGCTTTAAGCTGTCAATACAAACATATTTACGTTCTTTTTATTTTACTTTAAGGCAAAGGGTTATGTTTGATCATCCTGTTTGCACAATAGCAAAATAAGGTTCCCACCCACATAGGCCAGCAAACCTTGAAAGCGATTCAAAAAACCTGTTTTTCTCAGCTCTTGACAAGAGGTTTTCCCTGGATCTATTAGCTTGTTGTGTAACAGAACACATTTACTTGCCCAAAAGCACATGGAGCAAAAGTATTTAATCAATCAACCCAAAGTTTTAACTTTTAACTTTTCTGTGACCTGCCCTTAAGGGCAACTGGCAACTCTACAGATAGAAGGAGTTGCTTCCAGAGAAGCAGAGTCTGAACTCGAGGGAAAGAAAGTTGGCAGCCTGGATAGAGATATAATATCCAATTTGAGCTAGCAAACTGATGTTTTCTAATGATTAGGTTGGACCTCTTTGATGTGTGAACCTGCAGGGCAAGAATTGTCTAGAAGTGTTAGTTTTTTGTTCTACTCTTATCTCTCTTTTTTTTTTAAAGACAATTTGTTATTTTGATATTTTTAGATTACTCTATGTATGGTAACTGGTCAGCAAGAATTTTTCCTCCCACATTATAAATCAGAAGATAAGCTTCCCCCAATCTGCTTCCAAAGCCAATAGGTACTGTTGAAATATAAGATTTAATGTGACAGATAAATAAAATTTAATTATTCCTTATTTCCTTACTATATTATCATCTTCCTTTGGCTTCAATGGAATGCATAAAATTTATCTATTGTCCCAAAATAATAACAAGAAGATAATACAATTTAATTATTCCTTATTTCTTTACAATGTTGTTACCTTCCTTTGGCTCCAACTTAATGCAGAAAATATATCTACATGGAACATAACTGTTTTTATTATTTGTATCCTGCCTTTATTTATTTTTTTATTTATTCATTTTATTTATTATATATTTCTTTATTCAAGAGCCAAGGTGGCGCAGTGGTTAAATGCAGCACTGCAGGCTACTGCTAGATCAGCAGGTCAG